TAATCAATCTGGTTTCGGTATTGGCCATCTGGTGATGTCCATGTGTAGAGTCGTCTCTTGTAAAGTCTAGCTGACTTTAGCTTATCCCAAAAAACTAAGTAGGTTTGGGCCTGGTTTGTACCTGGATGGGAGATTGTCAGGAAATCTTGACACTGTATGTTAGATTGGGATGTCAAAAACAGAAAACCAATCCAGAAAAAGGCAAAGTACTTTTGCACTATTCTAAAGAGAACTTCATGGACATGTTCATGAAGTCAACAGGATTCAAGCTTGACTCTAGCAAGTTTATTGTCAGTTGGTTTAAGCATTAATTCTAAAGAAAGCACTGGACGCAAACATAATACTGGGAGTCGGGCGGCATATACATTTAATAATAATAATAATAATAATAATAATAATGACTATTATTATTATTATTATTATTTAAAATGTGCACAAACTCGTATAATATTAGACTACCTTTTAGAAAAACAAACCATCTAAGGCAAAAATAAAGCAAGGTTATCTTCTTTCTCTCACCTGGAAAGTCTTCATTAATTTCATCCATTTCTAGAACAATGTCATATGGTACACCGGCTTCTGCAAGCAATACATTCAGTTGTCCAGGCATACGACCTGCCACAGGATGAATACCAAACCTAAAATAGTGGAAGAAATGGTGACAGGATACATAAAAAACATCAGAAATGCTTTAGCCATTCTGTTATTCATTAACACAGCAAATTTTCACAGTATAATCCACAGTTTAGAGATGGAAGCCTAAGGTTGAGAAAATAATTTATTCAACGTCACATCGAAGTAAGGACTTCTCTCTCTCTCTCTCTCTCTCTCTCTCTCTCTCCCTCCCTCTCCCTCTCTCTTCCTTACAAGGTGTCCTGGGTTCATTTGCCCTCTGAGTGGTATACAGGGGGGCATATTCAAAAACTGTGCAAGGCTACAGCAAAAATTAAAGCTGATGAAGTTTTAATTAGATTAATAGAAACAAGTAATATGATTATTCTCAATGAAATTAGTAACTTTCCTCTTTCTGTTGTAGAAAGAATTACATTTCAATGACAACTTTTGAAGAAGTTCAGAGCAACATATCTAAGGCTTTGGGGGTTTCATGTAGCTTTAGGGCTATAGGTTATGTATATTTTGGTTAGTAGAACGTTGTATCATACTAGAATAAAGAAAAATAGGAATCAAGAATCAGCAGGTATTATGAAAAGGGAATTTACTTTGGTGTAACAAGTGTGAAGATTCTGTGTTGTTTCAAATAAGATAAATTTCTGTTTTTGAATTGTCTGTGACCTTATTAAGTGTGTAGCTTATTTACTATGTTACATTTCCAACTGAGATCCCTCTCTCACTTCAGCTATTTGCCTTATGGATTAAAATGTACAGATGCTTCCACTGTCTTCGTAAATTATGAGCACTAGATACTTAGGGTGTATGTGAATGGGGTAAAACAGCCAGTAAGGATGGTGGGCATTTTGCTTACAAAAAACATTTGCAAACTGCACAGAGCCATGAGAGAGAGAAAGGGCGGGGGTGGGGGAGGAGAGGAAATATCTGCTATCATTCTACCGAAGACCAGATGTAGAATCAGATATACAACAGCGGAACAAATAGGACAAAATATTAGGGAGCTTAAAGTTTCAGCCAGCTACTCAGTAACTCAAGCCATGTGAAACAATCCTGATTCTTTCCAGAAAACGTGAAGTGCAAGAGCTTTCAGAATTTCTGCACTGAAGTATATTAGAATTCAGGCAACTAATAACGTTATATTTAAGTAGTTTTTAATTATAATGCATATTTGGATTTTATACACTATTAGCAATTCTGAAAGCAACATATTCTTTCTTGAAATCATGCCAAATATTTTGAAGGAATATACACATCTGCAAATTGAGAGCTGTCAAGATTTCAAAAGTAACTGCATTTTTTTTTCAGGGTAGAGGGATTTTTGTTTACTTGTATTATTGAAGTGCAGCCAAGAGAAACCCAGTGAGTCCAATAAAGATGTTGCCTAACAATAGGTCATTGGCCAGTTTCTAGGTCAGGTTTCAACACTGGTCTGAGACACAGGGGGACTCTGCTGTCAGTATCATCTATAACAGATTATATTTGATTCAGATTTGCCTTCCTTAGCCAGAATTGGATCAAGCCCTTAAAGATTTGATTTTTAATTATGTGCCATCAAAGTGGTGTCAACTCTTAGTAGCCACACAGACAGATCTTCTCCAAGTTGATTTGTCCCCAATCAGGCCCTTCAGGTCTTTCAACAGGGCACCCATTGCCACTGTAATCAAGTCCATCCACCTTGCTGCTGTCATCCTCTTCTCTTTCTTAGCACAATAGACTTCTCAAGAGAACTAGACTTCTCAAGTCTTTGCATAATGTGTCCACAGTAGGATAATTTGAGCTTAATCATTTGTGCCTCAAGTGATAACTCTGAGTTGATTTGTTTAATGATCCATTCATTTCTTTTCTTTGCTGTCATGGTATTATTATTATTATTCTTTTTTTATATATAATAAAAATGTCCATTCTGGCATCTTTTTCCATATCATCCTTTGGCATGAAAAGTCCATGTTTGAATCCACAACTTCTTTATTCATACCACCTTCATAGTCCAACATTTTTCTGAACTCCAGTTCCACATTTCAAATCAATCTCCACCTCTTTTTCAAAGTTATCCATCTTATCTACTCTTTCCTCTACCTTTTTTTCAAGGGACTTGAATTTAGCTCCTAGCTGACTGGAATAAACTTAAAAGAGTTATTTTATTTTCTAATGGCTGCTCCAAAGGACCTCTTTTAACCATTTCTTTTTTTTCCCCATTTAGACAAGTAAAACGTATAGCCAGATATAATTAATTACAAGCAAAAGTAAACTGACAATTCATGCCCTCTAGTGTCTTTCACATTGGAATTGTGTCAAGGAAAAATATACAGGGATCAAGTTACAGTCTTCTTCTGTTTTAAAAACCCAGCCAATCAACAGACATAATCTCACAAATCAAGAAACTTTCCCATGTAAAAAGCAAACCTCATCACTGCAAAAGGAGTTTCGTAAAAAAAATAAACTTATAAAAAATAACTCTTCCCTCTTCACTGTAAATAACCTTTTAAGTGTCTTTTAAATTCCACTTGTCATCCAGCTTTTTGAGAATTAATCAAATTCAAATTAATACTCTATTTCTTCTTTTAAAAGTAGAGTCCCAAAAATAAGGATAAGCCCCAAGAGAATTACTTATCTGTTGTGGAGGAACGTGCAAGACAGTTATATTCCACAGTGTTTGGAAATGAGGTTCGGTCAGCTCTAGTGTTCATAAAAAAGGCTGCGCCACAGCTTCAAACAAACATGGATCCCCTGCCTCCTGGCTGCTTGACTTGAAAGCTCTTTGCAGAAGCTTCCATCTCCACAACGAGTTTTCAAGGAACAGCCATCCAGAGACCATATGGGTCAATTTACTCGCTTCCTCCTTGATCCGGAGCAAGTTGGGTGGCCAGCACTTGCTGTCAGCCACCAATCCAGCTACGGTACCATCTTCCCTCTCACAGAGAGATGATTAAGCCGCCATTGTCCCCACCAGAAGTCACATTATTATTCTCAGGAATCTTCCCAACACCAAAATTCAAATGTCAATACTCTTTCTATCCTGATTCTTCAGTCCCACTTTCGCTTCCAGAGAGTGTCACAAGCAAAACTACTGCCTACACAATTCTGATCTCTGTGCTGAAGATTACAAACACCTTAACTCTTTTGTTTCCTTTAAAGCAAGGGTGGAAAAACTGAAGTCACAACATCACATTTGGCCCTGAGTATACTTTTTCTGCAGTCCCTTCTGACCACTTTTGCCAAAATTTGGCAGCAGGATTTCCCATCAAATTGAGGCTAGAAACATACAAAGCCCTGAAATAGGTGTTACATTGTTTTATGAATCACTTCCAACAAAAGCCCAAATTAAAAAACAAAGCCTAAATTAAAAATAATTTTAAAAAATCACAGCACTGCCTGATGAGGTCTTTAACTCTTATTCCATAAGACTGCCCATCCATTCTTTACAGTGCCTTGACTTCAGAGTCATGTGTTCCAGATAAGCCTGACATGGTTAGTATGTTCATATGGTTTTTTATACATATTGTATTCCTGATGAAGCATAAAAAGTGTGTTTCCAGGAAAACCGGCAGCTGAGTTCAAATAGAGAATGGGAAGAGAAAGTACATTCTGGGATGATCGGGAGTGCAATAGCATATGATGCAACAAACTTATAAAAGCTCAAAAACGTTATTGAAAAAAAGAAACAGACATCAAGCAGATGTAGCTTACTAGCATCACTTGTGTCTCCAGAAATTTGGCAAAAGCTACGACAGCTATTTGCACATGAATTATTAATGAAATTACAGCAAACAAGTTCTGGGATAAGTTGGACACATGAGCTTGCATCGTGCCAACAGTCACTGCGTATTTTTTCCAGCTTTATGTAATAATGAAGCTGGCTGCGCTCCAGCAGGGCAACCCTGTGCACACAAATGGGGCTTTTCTTCTATTGACTGCACAGCATAAAGGACAGAAAGCCCAATATGCCTGCTATCAAATCATTAGTCCCTTCCAGTGATAGGTAAGGCAAGGCAAAACTCATTCTGACCAGCAGTATGTGCATTTTAGGAAAAAAAATGGCCATTACTAAACAGTCAGTCTTTACAACCCAACAGTCTTTAACATTTTCAAATCTGCCAATTCCAACCTGCAAAGTAAGACCTTTTTAACACAGTGGCTTCCCTTCATCACCATCTTTTTCCTCCTAGACTAAGGTATTTGGAATTTGTGGGAATGCTAGTGGAAGGTTATGCCTCTCAGTGCTGCCCTTGAGCGAAATGAGGTTATTCTTGACCTAGATGAGTCCCTCTCCTGTTTCGGACACAACCAGGAGGAGTCAAGTAGAAACATCAAGTAAGCTTAGATTAAACTAATCTCCAAAGTAGAATTTGTACTTCTTTTAAACTGTGGTTTAGTGAAACCAGCAAAATTTAACCAGAGTTAAGATATTAAAACTGCTGTTATTTTAAATAAGTGAATGCTCTGAATCTTACAGTGATGCTGAGGCTGGAAAAGGTGATAGATATCCAGGCTCCCTTAATGCTAAAGTATGGTTTAGCATTACATCCAAACCAGGCCAGTGCTACTTCTCTATTTTCATGGAACTGGGAAATACAAGTTAGCCTGTGTTATTATCCTAAGCAACTATGCGTTAGCCACACCTAGTTCTCTTAGACCCATAGTTACAGACTCTCAATATAAGAGCATTGAAGCTTATCTGTAGCTTTGTGCTGACGCAACACTGGTATTGCACATACTGGCCTCATGATACACTGATGCTAAAAAAAGTGAGCAGGCAATATGACTCAAAAAGGGCTTGCAGTTCATATATAATGAGGCAATGTACTGAATCTAAAAGAAATAATTAATGAAAGAAGCAGCAAAGAGCATAATTGCATGATCAGCCTTTTAAAATAATTCCAAACTGCTGTTATAAGAATGCAGGTCTGCATCTTTTTCTACATTCAAAATAAAATATAAAGATCATTCCTATCATCTTTATGTTCTTTTGAAAAGAGGATTTTGGAACATCTCAATACCGATTTAGATA